TGTGCTGTCTGGGCTAGATCTTGTTTGTACCTTCGAGAAGGGCAGTAGGGGAAAAAGATAACTAGGTTAGTACATCACTAGAATAAAGTATATTCTGAAAGTCCAGTGCACAAAATCTACCTAAGACTTGTTTTAGTGGGACGAAATCATCAAGGATGAGAAATTTAAGAGCTTTAGGAGACTTAGCTGAATGTCCTAGGTACTCTAGCACAAAAAGTAAATAATCTAGGGAGACTCTGCCTTTCTGTAGTTGATTTTTGTCATCTTTAACCTTCCAAGCTGCACCTCTGCTCTTTAACCAGTTGGAATTTAAATGTGTTGTTACAGTAGCATCTTTATTGGAGATGGACCGTGACTCGTGCTCATTAAGGCCACAGATGTCTGCTTAGATTATGTATTTCAAGTGTTTTCTCTGATGAACTGTGAAAAGCCAGGCTTGAGCAGAGGGTTATGAAAGATAAAATAATAGCCCCTCATCCCTGTGTCTGGCAGACTTAATGCCATTACTCTCAGATCTCTTTTAAAAACTTTGAGACGGCAAATTTGTTCACAGTCAATAAAATAGCCCTCTGAGTACAACCTGTTATGTTTCCTTTAGCAGTCTTTTACTGAATTATTCACAAAGCTTTTTACACTCAAAAAATCTCTAATCTGTGAATTCTGCATTTCCCAGATAGTAAGGTTTAATAGGTGTAAGTGGCATTGATAAACTGTTCATATGTGGTGAGATTAGAAAACACAGATTTTTCTTGCAGGGAGCACCCCACAAAAGAATAAATACACTGTGATTTTAAGCTAAATTAGCTTGCCCACACACCTTTTCTGTGAATTTGCATTTAATAGTAAAGCGGATAGGAGTGTTTTTTTTTTTGGTTTTTGTTTTTTTTTTTTTAAACTTGCATAGACACTACCTGCTTCTTCTGGAAGAAGATGACTGAATTATCAAGAAATTCAGTTCAGTGACTTCTGTGATGTGTAAACATTTGCTGAAAGTTACTAAAGCAGAACTAAAGAGTCTGGCTTTTTCTTTCTGAAGCAGTCATGCATGTCCAGCTAAGATTTTTCAGGTGTTCTTATATCTCACCTTCTCCCTGTTACAAGGTACACAAAACGGATAGTGTTTCATTGGGCAGTCTGAGCTGGGTACTCGTCATTCCCTTCCCACACCTCTGTATACTCACCTGGCTATACAAAATACCGGAATGTTACCAAGGAATCACCCTGAAGTCATTCATTTCAACATGACCAGATACATAGCCAAATAAATTGGATGTAGAAGTCTCTTGTATGCAAAACTGTCTCGTAGGTCTGCTACTTTTGTTTTAGCTGTGCTATAGAGCAGCTTTCTTGCCCGAGCATTATTTTGGAAGACTGTTAAGGGCAGTCCATTTCTTTTCCTTGACTGGGAATTGCACTCCCTAGGACTAGAAGCTAGGCAGTGCTGATAGGCTCAGGTAATGTTACTTTCATCCTTTGCAGGTTTGGATTTACCCACCTCGCTTGAAAAGGGAGGTCAGATGCAGGTTAGTCTTTCTTGGCTTAAGCTACACCACAGTAGAAATAAAATACCACTGGACTTCATGTGTGAGTGTGTGTTGCTAAGGGACCTTGAGATTGTATCTTCTTGGCCCAAAAAACCCACCTATGAAGAGTAAGGTTGTTATGGTGGTGGAAGACTTTCTTTCAAGGCAAGCTGGATCTTCCTAGGCAGGACTCCATCTCAGAGATGCGGTGTGCTCTGTTCCTGTGAAGGCATAAAGACTATGCATGTTTAGGGAGCTGGATTCTTGGCCTGGGAAGAGCGCATCTCCATGCACTGCCCAGGGCACAAGAAAGAGCGCTTGGCAGGTAAACCAGATTCTTTCCTTTCCACAGCGTGTACCTGTACTTCTCAGCACAGCTGCATGTTAGAGACAGGCTACACCTAGCTGAACTGAGGGAGATGCTAATTCAGATCCCAAAAGCAGTATTGCTGTGCTGGCTGGTTCAAAGGCTGCACCAGACAGCACACCCTTCAAAACAGCACCTTCAGAGCTGTACTGCTGCTTCAGAGGGCTCTGCGCAGATCTATAGTCCCTAGCTTAGGCATGCCCTTGGATTGCTCTTTTCTCAGACATACAGTGAACTCAATGGGAATGCAAGCAACGAATCTGAAAACCTGAAGAGGAATGGAGAGTTACTAGTAAACAAATGATGTTTCATTAGCCACAGTAATCCGAAAGCTCTGGAAGAGTGTATTAACTGCAAATTTACCCAAAATCTCAGCAAGATATGTGGGTGGTTGTAGTATGACAAGGATCGTAAAGCAGATAAAATAGATGCTTTGTTTAAGTCTGTCCCAAAGCTGGTCATCAGATCCCACCTGACTTTTGTCAAAATGGTTTTTCTTCAGCAATCTGGTTATCTTTTTGAATTTATGGAGGTTTTTCATGCCGAACCTAGAAGGTACTATCCTAAACACATAGTTTTGAAAAGTGGTTGACATATAATTCTCTCCTCTCATTTTTCTTCCCCTTTAATAAGATGGAGATTATAAAGAGAAGGGACTGCACTGCTCCAGAATGATCCCATGGTAATTAATTAGGTCTCATCTAGTCTGCAAAAGCATCCTGTTCTCAGTCTTAACCCAATGCATGGTAACCGGTGAGACAAGTTGAATGAAAGTCTTGTGGTATTTTACTGGGATGTCCTCATGTGTTTATCTTCCTTGCACTGAAGAATTTCAGGTAATGGTATTCATCCATTCCTTGCAAATAAACTTGATGTTTGCGTAAAAATGATCTGCTTGTCACTGTACTCGCTACACTGGCCCTGTCCGTGAATGTGACCTGAATTCACTTCTCAGATGGTGATTTCAGTGTATTAAAGAAGCCACAGCAATATGTGATGAGCTGTAATTAAAATTACTAACACATGTAAGTTCCTTTTCCCCACTTCTGCTTTGATTTACATTCTTCGTGCAGGCTTTGTTCACTTTGAGTGAGCCAGGGACCTAGTGTTGACTGGTAATGATGACGTCTGACTTCTCTCCAGCACAGTTGCGTAGAGAAATAAATTTAGTAAGGATCCTTGCTGAGGTGTGACACTAGGTGTCAAGAAAACCATCTTGCAGCTGGCCGTCAGATCTCTGGCCTGTGGTTGGAGTGGTATCATCAGTAAAATAGATCTATGAGTGTTAGTATTTAATCAGTAACAGGACCAATAATCATGTTCTCTTAGGTCTCATATAGTCTTTCTTTTCCATCTCATCCCTTCTTAATAAAATATCCAAGATTTAAAATGGAGATGTTTAAAGGTTAAGCCACTTCACGTTGTATTACCCTACCTGAATAACACGTAAGTTCAGTGTTGCTGAAAAACGTGGTTAGGTGTTTAACCGTGGAAGTTAACTACCAAAATCAAATAGAGTTTTGAGAGAAATACCCAAAGCATCGTGATGCAGGACAATGGGTGCTTGAGGAAAGCTATTATGCCAGGCATAGTCGGTATGTATTTCATGATTTTGTTACTGGAGAACTTTGTATGTGGCTCAGTTGCAACCTGTGAGTGACCAAAAAGTGGCTTCAGTCAATAGGTGAAAGAAAGGAAAATCAAGTTAAGATTTACTGTCCCAGCCTTCTACAGTAGGAAATGAAGAATTTGGACGGATAGTCCTCTTGTAACTGTGTGGATTTTGAGGTCAAGGGGTTGGGTTTGTTTTGGTTTTTACTCAGCCTCTCGTTTTTCTTGATGTAGGTAAATGTATTGTATCAAAACAGTATTTTTCTTTTTGAGGCTGCAAGGAGGTACAGCCTGTACAGAAATAGAAGTTCTCCCTAAAAAAAAAAAAGGCAAACAGTACTTAAAGGGTGTATGACCTTGTGAACAGGGGGCTGAAATGGAGTTCAGGGAACACGGTTCTGTGGTGCTGGCACTGGCCTCAAGCGTGGCAGTTGCATCAGTGCGTGTTTGACATGTTGCCTCTCTGAGCTTCTTTCCTCCTTGGCATTCTGTTGCCTTTTATAGTGTGTTTTCTCATAAGGTTTGCATGCAGTTCAAGATCCATTCAGATGTAGTCCAAAAGCATTATTCCATTACCTTTTTGCTTCTCTGGGCCCAGAGCCTGGGTGGGAATTCCTTCTCCTGTATCTTGGCTGAACAAATCCAACTGTAACTTCTCTTAGAGTTCTTGGTGACTTTGCTGATTCCTCGGTGCCTCCTGCAGCTAAAATACATACTATATGCTGTGTGAAGTACCTCTTCTGATCTGGTGTTCTCATCCCTTCTTATCATCCCTCTAATACTGCTGTTTGGGGTTCTGCCTTCTGCTCTTCCTCCCTGCCATTTCCATTTCCCTGCCAGTTACCATTTCCAACCATTCCCTTCACTATTTCCATCTCAAACTGAATCTTTTAGGCTTTCACATCTCGTACTGGTATCACACCTACCAGGCTTACATTGCTCTTTTTGCTTTTCTTTTGCATTTTTTCCAGCAAGAGGTCACAAACATCCAAATAACCACCCTTTACTGAGCAACTGTCTATATTTTCTCCTGTACTTATTTTGAACTGTTAGATTTGTGAAGCAGAGGATGTAGTTGTCACCTTTCTTGGTAAACTCTGTGTAAACTTTGACAGCATTGTGAGTTAATAAAAGTAAACATCAGGCATCTCTGATTCTAGTGTGCTTTGCTGGGCAGAGATGAGGTACTGTGCTTGTGCCTCGGAACTGGGTGTCTCACCTCTGGAAACAAAAAGTTCTGATAGGTAGGGATGGGAGAGATACTCCTATGATAGTGCACATGCTTCCTACTATGTGTGTATTTTCCTCTTTCTCAATTTGAGTCTCCCTAGTAGTTTATCTGCTGGCACTTACTGTGGGCGAGGACGTTCAGCCAATCTCTGATTTGCATACATATGCTTGCTTTTGTCACACAGTGCGTTAGTGCAAAACACAGCATAGGTTAAGAGCAGCTTTATACTGAAACAAATCTCAGTCATCCTTTTCCCTTTGTCTTGCAGAGGCAGGCAGCGGCCAGGATTACGTGACCTCAGAAAATCAGCTGCTGTACTACCCTAGTATCACCTATGCTATCATCGGTAGCTCTGTCATTTTCGTACTCGTGGTGGCTTTTCTCGCCTTGGTCCTGCATCACCAGCGGAAACGTAACAATCTCATGACCCTACCAGTGCATCGGCTGCAGCACCCTGTCCTGCTGTCCCGGCTGGTGGTCCTCGACCACCCCCATCACTGCAGTGTCACCTACAACGTCAACAATGGGATCCAATACATGTCCAACCAGCCCTACCACAGGCCAGTGGACCTGGACTCTCCACCATCCTATTCAGAGGCTGTGCTCGACCAGAGGTATGTACAGGAGCTAATTCTGGGCTCCCCAAAGTTTGACACTAGTGGTTGCAGCTCTGCTAGTCTGTGCTTCTGCTCCACATTTAACCTTATTGCTGCCTTTGACAGAAGTACACTGTTGCAGTTTTGTCACATCCATACGGCCAGATTTGGACAAATGTGACCTCCCCCTGCCTATGAAAAATTCTTGGTCCTCAGGTCCCCTTACTGTTACTGGTATTAAAGGGGTTGAAGGCAAGCTTAAGCCATGCTCTCTCAGCACATGTCAGTGGTAGAGATTTTGAGGATGGCAGGAGAATGTAAAGAAATGTATCACTTGTCTAGTAGTGATATCCTATGCCAGTTTACAATCAAAATATGAAAACTGAACTGGGAGTTTTGCTGAAAAACAGCTAGGTTGTGGGTCATAATTTAAAAACAAAACTACCCTGGTCATACGTGATAAGTGTATAAAGGTAAGAGGTCTTCAGTTATTGCATAAAGAAATTGTATAGTCTCTCTGTTCTGCACTACTTTCCTCTTAACAGGAGAAGAAAAAAAACCAGGACTCTGAAATGCAAAGCACTTTTCTCATTTTAAATAGCTGAAAGTGCTTTGAAGTTTTGTGTGTGGGTATGTTTTGGGTTATGTTGTTTTTGTAGTTATAACACTCTTTATTTGTAGATAATTAACCTTTATTTTAACCTCTGTCTGTAAAGTCTATCCAAACAAAACTCCTAGGCTGCCATCCTCTGTAGGGCATGGCATGAGCGTGAACGATTCAGATTGTTCATTGTCACCCTGTCTGCATTTTTTAGTACAAACTCTGGGATTCAAGAATAATAGTATAATCATTTACATTCCTTTTCTTTGCTGCATTTGGCAGCATCTCCCTTGTCTTAATATTGACATTCACAATAACGATATCTTTTCTTTTATGACTAAATGAGCAGCCCTTGAGCTTGTAATCCTTCTTACCTGGGCTGATACAGACCATCAGCAATTTCAGAGCTAATTGCTTCCAGGACCTGTTACTAATCTGCTAAATGCTTTGGTCCCTTTACTATCAGAATCACAAACCAGTTTTCTTGAATCCAGTACTCGTTTTGTCTATACCTACGTAGCAGTTGCTCTGCATGTGATTTGTCGTGGGGAAAATTCAGTTTGTTGTTTATTTCTAGGCCATAAACCATTAATCTCTGTCACTAATGAAAGTTTCCTCTGAGCTTTCTTGTGTTCATATAATTATCTATTGTGTAAATCCACTACTTACCTTATTTCCTTTAAACTGCTTTCTCATGTTGTGTAAATATACAGGAAACATTTTTACCTCTTGCGCCTGTCTTTGAGGGTAAGCTGAGATTTGTTGGAAGTGCATGCCCGTGAAAAGCAGAGTGTAGAGTGTTAAGCAAGATGTGATTAGCTATGCTGCATCTTGACCAGAAGTCTTGGTGCCTGGTGGTGGTGTGGATGCTTTGGAATGACCTGAATGATGCAGGCAGGTCTGTTTGAGATCTCCTGATAGATGCCACCATGGAAATGCTAAGGAATACTGTTTGGTTTTTTCCATACCACTGTTTTCAGTAACCTCTTGCTATGTTTTGTATCTTACAGCAGACCGCCTTGGTTTGACCTTCCTCCACCGCCTTATTGCTCTGAATCTGAATCCCTGAATCAGCCAGATCTTCCTCCTTACCCATCTCCGACAGGAAGCTTGGGGAGCACAGACACAGACATGGCAGGAAGCCCTCTGGGCACAGCTGGCAGTTGGACAAGAGACATCCATGACAGCATGGATGGCCACAGAACTCTTCTTGAGAGGACTGCGGCTCAAAGTGACTCTCAGGGCAACCACCTTGCTGAAAGAGAAGTGTGACTGCTCCGGTATTCGCGATGGGCAGGAAGGCAATCACTTTTTCAAGTCTCTGTGGCTTAATCTGCTGTGGCTGATAAGTGTCAGGGCAACATGTGCCTGAATGGTGACTTGATTTGAATCCACACTAATAGTTGAATTCAGCATTTTGGGCTCATCGAACACAGAGCTGTGACCTAGAGTCACATCAGCTCTCCACAATATTACTGCAGGCAAGTTCCAGTTCAGACTTGTAAGAGAAACATCAGGGCTGTGTCAACTGATGTGATGTGTTTCTTGGACTATTTACTGTATATGAATGTAAATATGTGCATGTATAATATATACAGATGTTGCACACACAAGCTGTGCCAGAAGGACTCTTGTTTGCAGACTGCCTCCCATTCTGTTGGCACATGATCTGTTTCTTCTTACTGCCTGGTGCTGACTGGCTGGTCACTGAGGCACACGAGAGGCAGTTTTTCTGCTTGGAGGTCTGGTGCCCAATTCTAGCTCACCAGCAGTGCTCAAATTGCAGAAGATGTCCTACTCGACCCTTCTCTTCATGGCCTGGAACACTCTCACTGTGAATGTAATTTTCGAAGTTTAAGCGTGTAGGGGTGCAACAACGCTCTAACGGAGAAAACGAGGGATTTTTTATTTTTCCCAGATGCTAATATCTAGGTTGAATTTGCATGGGTTTTCTCTGGAACACCACAAAGGCTGGCTTATCTGTCAGACTTCAGGGCTGAGTACAGAGGCGCTGAGGCTTCTTAACAAACCAGAGCAAGACTTCCTTTCAAGCATGGCAAAACAGCATTACCCCACGTGCTCCTTCTTAAAAAAACAAAACAAACAAACAAACACACAACCAAAAAAAACCCTAAACTGTTTCATCTAGGTCTTGAACACCAAAACGAGCCTGAGGCAAACATCCATCACGGAAAGCTCTAGCGTGAACGACTGGTTTGTTACGTTTGTAAAACAACTGAGAGCAGGTCATGTAGTGAAAGGTTGACCCTGTCTGCAGCGTGTATGTGTGCACGCATGGATACACATGTGTAATGCTATGAGTATGTAAGTAGTATATTGTATACGTTTAGTTCTACTGCACCAGTAGAACTCTAAAATGTCAAAGTTTCAGTTACGATATTCTCCTTTTTTATGGAGTTTGCCATTATTCATATTAATTTGGTTGAAATTCTAGCTTCTGCAGGAAAACAATCATGTCTGTTTTGTACTAACTCTTGGTCTCCTGTAAAGTGTGTTTCAGTGCACAGTGTTGAATCACTCGTGTGAAAGCATCTGAGAGGTGAAGGTAGTGAGGGGCAAAAGGGAAGGTAAGCTGTGAATTTAAATGCCACTGCAGTGTTGTGTTTGTGCTCAGTATACAGAAAACAGTGCAGCATTGTCATCTTGACCAGCAGGAGATTGGCCTTGAAAAATTATATATATTTGTCTCTCAGACACATTTCCCACTCCTTCCTTCCTTGAATGAACAGTGTCATTAAACAGACTTTGCCGTTTAATGGATATGAAGGAAGCTGACTACCCACACCTTCTGCTTTCTTCCTCCCCATCTTGCTAAGGTAACTCCTTTCACCCAAAGGTTATGCTCAGAACCCAAGAATTTTTGACCTTGAATGTAGGTAGAGGAATGACTCGAGTTCACTCTCATGGCCCACACATACACCTAAATTTCTTTTGTGGCTTCTTGTTTTGGGTTTTGTTTTTTTTCCCCAGTTCTGGAGGCTACTGCCATGGTATATAAGAGACGGGGCCAGATGGATCTGTAAGCACAGGTAATTCCAGGACTGAGAGCACTGGAGAAATCTATTGCTGATGGGCTTGGCTGACTTTGGAAGCAGATTAATGGCAGCCTTTCATTACAGGCTTAAGCAGCCTGTCTGGAAGTGTTGGTGAAGGTGTTCCTAGGCCCAGATGCTGTTTTCCTATGGCATCTGGAAAACGTTGCCTTGCATTGCTAAGAAGTAGGAAAAGAGTGGCCGTAGCCTACTTCTTCTGCCTTCTGTGTCAGTCACTGTCATACAGATGTACATATATATATTTTTTTAAAAAAGATACTCTTTCAGGTTGTATATATTCATGTAACTTTGGAGTTAAGATAATCTATTTGGACTTCACAAAAAAAAAGAAGAAAAAAAATCTAAATGGTATGACGTTTTCCCTTCCAGCTAAGGGTGTATTTATCTTTGTATAGGAATCTTTTCAATTCTGAGAACACAGGTTATAAAATGAGATTGTGCCTTTCTGATTGAATGTTGACTTGGGAGACTGTTAACTGCATTTCTGGGTGGTGTTATGTATCATTGTCTAGAGATCCAAAAAGAGAAAGGAGTCCTGTCTTCCTCTTTGTTGCCACTTAATGGGGACCACCAAACTCTGAGGAGTACAGAAGTTCAATATCTTGTTCCAAAAAGGCATGCTAAAACTTCAAGTGGAGGTTTCATCTTACTCCAGTTCTCTGTTTGTAGAACAGACCTACTAGCTGGTTTCTTTGGAAATTGCTGTAGTATCACACAAATTGTTTATTACGTGTCACTTCTAGTGGTGTTAATACAGCGTTATACTGCATTATTCAGTGGAATCTTTGGGAAACCATGGTAGCAACAACTGCCTTGACGGAATTAAATATTTCAGTGAAAATCCTGCAGCTTGTAAGGCTGAAGTTAAATGTTCATGAAATACCATGTGGTAGGATTTCTTTTCGGTAAGCAGTAAAATTGGAATTGAACATTTTGTTGTTTGCAGTTGCTCTTAACCTTTTAGTTAGAGGTTAGTCCTCCAGCAGCTTTCCTTTATGCTTAATATTTTAACAAATGGATGCTATTTCAAAGGCCTAAAAGGAACAACAATTGAAGTTTTCTTCCTGAGCCAAATTCCGATTCCTTGTCTGTATTGAATAGTGACCACTGTAATGAGTAGTTCTCCTCAGCACAGACAGTAATATTTGATATTTGATATCAATATATTTGATTCCAACAAAACAATTTCAAGAAATGACTGTTTGAGGTAAAGGAAGGCATGTGGATTAGCCTGTTGGTAATAAGATTTGGGTTATTTAGAAATAAATAAATTTCAGGAGTTTGGGGTGTCTGTAAGCTCTGCTGAAGTGAGTGCTGTGTATTTAAAATTAGGCCATTAGTGAATCTGCTTGATAATAATCTGAAGTTCCTTGTAAGGCGAATCACAATTTACCTCTCTGCTATTGTGCTAATGGAAAGCTGGCAGTAATGCTTTTTGAAGAGAGCCCCTGAATAATTTTCTCAGCTCTTGTCTACAGTGACATACACAACAACACTGACTGCACTGCGATTTTTAAATAGCTCTGCATTCATTCTTCTTCCCCCTTTAAGTCAAATCAGTTTTATTTACACCACTTCACTTTGATACAGCTAATAGGGTGCTTGTGATAGATCTAGAAGCTGGGTGGAGGAAAGAGCTGATGACTCTCATTTTAATTAATGCTGCAGCTTGTTAATCTTGTGCGCTTTACTTTTTAGACATCTTAGGAAAGACAAATGGTTTTAGTAGATAAGAAAAACTATTAACGATGAAAAGCATAGAGGCACACTGATTCTGAATTTAATATTTTAATGAATATTTAAAATTGTGTAAATTAAGAATTTAATGCTGTATTTTTAATGTGGTGATCAGACGGCAAAAACTGTTTTTAACTGTTGCTCATCAGAAGTGACTTTGCAAATAATGCCTGGAACTGAAATGGTAAGACAAGTGCTCTTCTTGCAGTTCATACGAGATCTGAAATAGTTTTTTTTATTAACACAAGGCTGTATTGCACCCGTGGACTAAAATATGTGACTGCAGAAAGAATTTTAATACTGTGCTGGATTCTGCCCGAATGTATGCCAGCGCAGGACTGTGGCCTTCGTTTGTCCTTTCTTTTTTTTTTGTTGCTTTTGTGATTTGAGGGGTTCTATCAACTTGAGATGTTACGTCAGAGGTTGTATGCCGAAACCTTGTCTTAAACTTTTGTAAACTGGAAATCTTAAAAAATGTATTCTGTATTCCTGAATAAAGTTGGTGTTTTAATACTGTTCACAAGCGAGGATGTCCCCTGCCCCACAAAGGCTCAGTTGTTTTGTTTTATAGCCTCCGACATGAGGCTTCTTCCAACTTCTTTTGCATTCAATGTTAAGTTTTGTTAGATCTTTGTGGGTTTCAAACATATTTTAAAATAAGGAAGTGATACTGAAAATCCACATGTGTATATAAAAATGTACTGATACATGTGTCTCCATATTTATACAAATGAAATTGCTTAATTTCATAATTTCTTGTTTTTGTTTTGCCATTCTGTTTGTACAGTCAAAGTCGAGGTATCTGGAGCAGGCATGGTTTGTTGTTTGCTTGAGGCAAAGCTCTAGCGCCTTCAGCAGCAGTGGGTGCTCTGTGCTGGTTGCTGCGTATGGATTTACTAGCAGAGCCTCTAGCATTAGCTTCTACCTCCCTTTTTCCACCTGCTACTTTCCCACCACTTATGTTCCCAGCACAGTATCCCTGTTTATCTGCAGGTCCGTGATCCATGAGCCAGATTCAAGTTGAGATGCTCTGCGGAGGCTGCGTGCCTGGCTGAAGTCCCACGTTGGGGTTTCTTCCCCAGCAGATGCCCGAAGCAGGCACCACCACTACCACGGGAACCATTCTGCCCCACGAAGTCCAGACCCACCTGACATCTGGATCATAGCCACTCTTCTACTCAAGGTACTTCATCAGGGACAGTCCTGTCACTCAAAGAACTAGCATTAAGTAGTACTCCTCGTCTTAGGAACTAACTTTCGCAGACTAAGGAGAACAGGTTCAAATGGCATGTCTGAATATTTTGATCTATATAAGTACATAGAGGTTAAAATATTCCACTTCTGTGACTCATCTGCACTTGGGACCTTCACAAACGTGTCAATTTTATAATTTACCTGGTTATTTTATAATTTTCCTATTTTATATGCCCTCACAGAAATTCTCAGTTGGTGATCTATCTT